TCTCAGGCTGTCTGTCTCTGTCTGACTATCTCAGTGTCTTTCTCTTTCTGTCCCAGTCTTGCTCTGTGTGAGTGTCTCTCAGGCTGTCTGTCTCTGTCTGACTATCTCAGTGTCTCTCTCTTTCTGATTGTTTCCCTCTGACTGTTTCTCTCTCTCTCGCTTACTTTCTCTCTTTCAGTCTCTCTCTCTCTCTGACTGTCTCTTTTATTCTGTCAGTCTCTCTCCCTGATTCTCATTCAAGTCTCTCTCTGACTGTCTCAGTCTGTCTCTCTCTCCGACTGTCTCAGTTCGAGGAAATGAAGGAAATGACAAATAAATGAAAGTGAAACTAAATGAATTATGTAAAAAATAGAAACAGAAAGGAGAGCAGCACCTAGCACTAACACTGAGAGACACTCACTGACTCCACAGAGAGACACTCACACTGACTCCACAGAGAGACACTCACACTGAGAGACACTCACTGACTCCACAGAGAGACACTCACACTGAGAGACACTCACTGACTCCACAGAGAGACACTCACACTGACTCCACAGAGAGACACTCACACTGAGACACTCACACTGACTCCACAGAGACACTCACACTGCCAGACACTCACACTAGGAGACACACTGAGAGACACTCACAATGAGAGACACTCACACTAGGAGACACTCACACTGAGAGACACTCACACTGCCAGACACTCACACCAGGAGACACTCACACTAGCAGACACTCACACTAGCAGACACTCACACCAGGAGACACTCACACCAGGAGACACTCACACTCAGCGCTCAGGATGGGGGATGGCTACCAGTTCCCTGTGGCCCTTCAGTGGGATTTGGGGCCCGAGAAGCTGAAACAGATGAAGAACAAGTTAATGGTTTATTTCGGGAGCAAAAAGAAATCGAATGGAGGAGAATGTGAGATAAAAGGCATGGAGTGCACTCAGGGCTATGTACTAATATACTTCAACCAGGAGACAGGTACAGCCACAGCATGGGGGGCTGGGGGTAATGGGGGGCTGGGGGTAATGGGGAGAGTGTGTGATAAAAGACATGGAGTGCACTCAGGGTTATGTACTAATATACTTCAACCAGGAGACAGGTACAGCCACAGCATGGGGGGCTGGGGGTAATGGGGAGAGTGTGTGATAAAAGACATGGAGTGCACTCAGGGCTATGTACTAATATACTTCAACCAGGAGACAGGTACAGCCACAGCATGGGAGGACCAGGCTTTGACCGAGCTATGATTGAACTGGTGACCTTTCCTCCCACGCCGACGCCAGCTCCCGCGTGGAGCCGAATGCGCATGCGCGGCAAGTGCTGCGCGCACATTCAAATAGTCCATAGGAAAGCATTTCTCGATGGTTTCCTGTGGACGTTCTGCACGGCAGATGCGAATTTTGCATCCAGCGTTGCAGAAGCACCTCTAGCGGCTGTTTCTCTAAAACTGCTATGTTTACATGTAAAGGGTTAAAACCTGAGGGACCTGGCAGTGGCACCCAGACCACTTCATTGAGCTGAAGTGGTCTGGGTGACTATAGTGTCTCTTTAAATAGTTCTCCTAATGACGTACTCTGAGCAGAGGAAAAGAAACTTAGAATGTATGAGTCATACTTTTGTTTCTATTATCATTTTTATTATATGGTCAAAGGCAGGGCAAATATAGGACATTGTTATAATGCATGGTAACAGTAAAGCTTTGAATATAATTGGTTTCTTATTAAAGGTCTCT